TTGTGGGGGTTGGGCTAGTCCTATAACAAAGGAGCAAATTAAGACAACAGAGGATTATGCTGGAGACCACAATGTTTTTGATGATGTCTATAGACAACATGAAGATATTCCAAGCCCTGGTGTGGGAAATTGAACTATCTAAGTCTTCACATAAACTTGTCTCATTATTTTTTTAGTACATATAGATATGTAAGTTATACTCTTTTTGTTTGTGTCATGTTCTCTCTCTATATTACATCACATTAATAATAGTCCATATGGTGGATTGGATTGAAGGAAGTTGCTCAGATAGTAAGCACCCCTCACTTTCGATTCGAAGGTTGTGAGTTCAAATCATCAAGAGAGCGGAGCTCGGATTAAAAAAAAAGGTCCATCTAGAGGATTGTACTTGGTAATTGTTTTTTTCTTGTGGGGGTATAATGGGTACTGGGCAAAAACATTTAATATTATTTGAATGTTTTTCATCTTATGTACATTTTTACAGCAAATATACAAATATGTAAAATATTTGTGAGGTTTATTATTGTGGTGGCTCGGGCCTGAAGAAATTTTCAAATGGAATAAACATTTGTTGGTTTATATATATACTTATAATATAACTAAACACGCATACAATATACTATCTATATAATAGAATACTTACATTATATATATATATATATATATTACATTATATTATATTATATTATAAGTGTCAAAAACACACCTAAACTATTTTTATTTGAGTTTAATACCTAAACTATCACTTATTAGTTTGAGATCCACATCTCAGTGGTGTGTGTAATACACTCTATCTTTTATTTGCAAAAATATTGTAACATGACATTACACATGGATAAAATATTTATCTTGACAAAAATTAAATAAACTATTAATATTAGTTAAAAGCTAAAAATTTAAATATACTTATCCTAAAAAAAGAAATTATTTTTAAGGAATAATTATTTAAAAAAAAATAAATTTAAAATATTTTTCTCATTCCACCTCACCACCTCATTTGCACCTCAGACAAACCCCCCATCCTTTTATTTTCTTAAATTTCTTTTATAAAATATTTTTAAAATATTCAGACTTCAACCCTCCCCCACTCCTTCCAAAAAAAAGGAAAAAATGCAAGTACCCCCCTAGAGTATAACCGAAATCCCAAAGATACACCTTAACTAAATTAAGGTCCTAACACCTTTATGAACCCATTTTTTTTGTAATTTTGTACACCTTATTGGCTTACGTGACATCCAAATATTTCCCACGCGCCTCAATTGTGTGGAGTCACAGAGTGTGACACGTAAGCCAAAAGGTGTACAAAATTACAAAAAATGAGTTTAGGGGGGGGGGGGGGTAATGGAACCTTAGTTTAATTAAGGTGTTCCTCTGAGATTCCGGTCATAGTCTAAAGGAGTATTTGTGCCTTATCCCAAAAAAAATAAATTGATATTATTTTTATTGTTAAAAAAAATTATACTCCACCCCATCTAACCCTTCACTCATAATTTATTTTATTTATTTTTACATTTTTCTCATTTTTTTTACATTGATATTATTACATTTTTCTCGTTTTGTATTAAATAAAAGAGAGAGTGTAATAAAAGAGAGATGTGTGTTTCTCAAACTAATAAGTGACAATTTAGGTATGAAACTCACAATGTCAATAGTTTAGGTATAAAATAAAAAAATAAAAAAGAGAATAGCTTAGATATGTTTTTGACCCATATATATATATATAAATTCCAAGGTCCTCTCGGTGCTAAGTAAAATCTTAAGAGAAATAAGCATAATAATTATCATATCATAATACTTGGAAAAGTAAAAATTTCATAATATCAATTCTAATCATAAACTTCATATCATAGAATAGCTCATTTCAAAATCACGATTTCATAACATATTCATAAAGACGCTTATCTTAAGCATCAAAATCAGGATCATCTTTCATAATACAAATACTTCAATTGGAAGCAATCTTTTTCACAAAATATTTTGATAATTCATCTAAAAGAATCATTTATTCATAAAAATTTCTCAATTTCACGATGCATGCATAATTTCATAATATATTCATGATCATAAAATAGGCAAATAGCATGAATTCATATGAAATTCATGGAAAACACGTACATTGAATCAAATAATGCAAAATACGATCAAATATAAACAATTGAATCATAATTAATTGATCCCATGTAGAATCATATAAAAACCCTAGAAATTGGGAATGAAATCATGGAAGAAGTAGAGAAATCTTAATTTGGGACTCAATGAAAGAAAGAAAGAAATCCATTGATGAACTTCCCACATACCTTGATGAATCCAAGCTTTATATTGGAGAAGGAAACTTGAAGGCTTAAAGAACCCTAGCTTTCCTTGAAGAGAATTTGGAGAAGATGAACTTAGGAGATTTTGGAGGTTTGAGTGACTGAGAGGAAATGGGTAGATTTAGTAGAGTAAAATTATAAGTGTTATGTTCTAGAAATGACGTATTTAGGCGTAAAAAGGGTAAGAAAATATCCAAATAACCTAACTAAAATCTGCCAGACAGACAGACAGACCCTACGACTTGAACTATGGTTTGTAGGAACTTATACGGACCATCTTGATCACTCGTAGAACAAGTACCGGAGACCAATATTGGTGTTAACTTCCACTAGACCCTTCCTACGGGTTGTGCAACTACCTATGGCCCATTGGGCCTTTAGGTAGAATCCAAGTCCGAAAATCCTTTTAAGTCCAAACCACTTCCCACGAACCCTAGACTAGGACCCGTCAAACTTTGGACGATTCGTGCAACCAATCGTAGACCTAAGGTCAATCAAAATCGCCAAGTATGGATCTTCTTCTACAGGCACGTCCTATGACCCGTAGGGGTTCTTACGATTTTTCCTATTGGTCCATAGACACACATTAGAGACTTGACATTTCTAAAATTTTAACCCAACTCGTAGGACTGCCCTTCTACGGACCGTAGGCTTGTAAGAACCTGCACCAGTAAAATTTCTGCAACTATCTTTTCAAACTCAACTTACTAATTTCTGAGGTATTACAAGTATGGTACTCAATCCAACCACATACATAACCGTCCATTCGCAAGCTCACAACGAACCTCATCATCAGAATAATAAATAACACATTCCTAGTGTATCCACATATCTTAGTTTGATAGCTTATCCAGTTACCTCTTAGAATAACACATTAAGTATAGAATAATCACAACTTCATATTTCATTACATCAGTGAAACAAACAATTCGACAATTTGAATGCTCATTTATTCAGTCCTTATTAATTCAATTATAAAATAAGCATCAACTATGTCCGAAAAATAATCAATATATATGCAGTACAACTCCTATTACATATCAGAAACTAAGCAAAATCTAACTCCAAGTAAATCGTAATCTACCTCAATCGGAGAATTGAAGTAAACAAGTTGAATTCTCGGACCTTCCCTTTCCTTACAACCTCAGAATGTTCAATGTCTAAAACAAGTAAAATATAGTAGTAACTTAATCATCTATTTCCTCAAACTTTGGGTATTCAAGCCCACATAATTCTATCTGTTTAGAAGGATAAACTATTTATTTTAAGTTCATTTCATCAAATCATAGGTTTCCATGATCATACCAATCTCATTCTTAGAGTTTCAGTCCCATTAACCTCTCTTGAGCAGTTCATTTGCTCAAAGAATCTAACTTTATGAGATTTCTAAGTTCCCTAAATGATCGTTAATGAATGATTCATAATCTATGCTAAAAGATAAAATATAACGGCTTAAAATCAGTAATTATGCATAGTTATACACCCCCATCAAGATAATAACTCTAGGGTTAAAACCCATGAATTCTCACGAAGATTTTACCTTTCGATTCTAGGAGAAAATCTAATTACGGATTGGAAAGATGAAAGAGAAGTACTTATAGGGAGAAAACCCTAAGCATTGGAAAATTCACCACTAGAGTCTTTTCACCGAATATTTTATATTTTGACTAAGACTGAACGAAAATTGACTTGAAACAGAGTTATTGTTTTCGCAACCTTCTCCATGTAGAAGACCTTCTCTATAGAGAACCTACGTGACCTGTACCACTTTTTCCAGGGAACCAAACCAATTGTTCACTATGGAGAACCTCACCAACATGTGAGCCTTTACTATGTCGAAGCCTAATTTCGCTATAGCAAAGACTTTTTTACTATAGCTACGCCTGATAGGATTTCTAAAACTCAATTTTCATTTTCGATTTTTTACCAACTCTTAACCCATGCAAACCTATACAAGGATACTATGGTCTTAAATACTCATAATAACGGGACAAATCATTACATTGGCTCCACTCTCTTTTTTATTTCTCCTGTTTCGACTCATTTTTCCTTCAATTCTTTTCATTACTACACCGTTTTATAATTCTATACAACAAAATATAATATTAAGTACAAAATAATATAATCACTGTTCAAAATATAATTTAAAATACTACTCCCTCTGTCCCAATTTATGTGACACATTTCGCTTTTCGAGAGTCAAACAATTTAAGTTTGACTGAGAATTTGCTCATGAAATTTTCAAATTTTTTAAAATGAAATTTATATATTTGTAAACTACACAAAAAGTACTATAAGTCTCAATAATTGATAATACAAAATATTTAAAAGATATAGAAAAATATTACGGTCAAAGATAGACATGTTTGAATCTCGATATCCGAAATGTGTCACATAAATTGAGACAGAGGGAGTATTATGTGTGGAAATTAATGATTTTTTATCCTATCATCATAAACGAATCAATTTTACTCTTTTATAAAACTTATATGTCATGAATTTTCTTCTAAGTTCAAATTTGAGTATCTTCACTTATATAAATATGTATTATAAAATTCATTCTATACTTTAGAAATATTGTGTTTTCTCCTATTGTAATTAAGGATTATAATATATGGATTGAGGTGTATTTGTGCCACGTTCCGAGTCTACATCCTAAATGTGATCAATATTTGAAATTATTGTTAGCCCAAGCGAATGCTTTGTTATGAATCAGCCCAGCCCAATAAAGATACCAACAAAGATATTGTACAAATAGATATTGGACCAAGTAGGCCCAACAAAAGAAATAGGTCCAGGCCTTCACAAAGGATAATCTGGGATCTAGACTTAGGGTACGTTGATTGTAGTTAAATAGATTAGGGCATCACTATCAGAGGGCATCGTATAAATTATGTGCAAAGGCAGTTTCTGTGTTTCTCATCCCCAATTCTAGAGTCTAAGTTTCTCATCCTCATTATTATCTCTATCCTTAGTTACTTGTTATTTCAATATTTCCATTGTAATTCGGTAGTTTGATTATTGCAACTAGAATCTTAAAGTTGTAATACTGTTTTAGTGCTCTTATTAATATAGAACCATGGTGTGTGCATTGCTACTTGTCTAATGGGTCATGTGTTATCTATAACTACATTGCAATCCCCTGTCAATCAATCAAATATAAACTAATCGTCGATGCATATTATGTTGTAACGTTTTGGTGGCCAACTTCGAGCGAACATCAGTTTGGTGACACGATGTCAAAATTAATCTTAACTACAAAATTGAGATCTGCTACATGGTGATTGATCAGGCCAAATTCCTCAAGCTATTGGATAACATGGAACACGCTGCATCTAACCTTAAGTCTGCGCATTTCAAGGATAACTTGAAGCATCTTCACTACATTTCTTTACTCTCATTGGCTTACCTTGTGGGAAGTTCAACTAGAATTGTCCATTTAAACAAATGGGTTTCTGTACAACGGCTTAAGGATAATGTACAAATGCCTAGGACTAACAATGTGTCATGGAGGGGAAATTCTGGGTTGCAAGATGGAGGGTGTATTGATTTGATTATGTACAAACACTTGGTGGTGGCCTACAATGATGCCGGAGATGGACTACAACTTATTTTGCCTCTATTTTGTGTTCTTACTATGTTAAGCTAGAGTGTGAGTGAGCATCTTGCAAATTTTGAAGTTGTTGTTGAACTGGATCATATGAGGGTTGTTAGCAAAACGACCTATATTATGACGTCCATTCTAAGGATATTGTGGCCTAGGGGACATTTAGAGAAACTAAAATATTTTTCTTGTCACAACCATGTCCAACAAGCTATAAACTATGTTGACACAATACACAAAGCTTGGTATGAAGCTCTTGATTTTTCTCGAGAGGGACTTATAGGTGCTTGCCGTCAAATGCACTTCGTCCAACTTAAAGTCAATGTAACTACACCTAGATTACCAATGCTTTCGTTGGCGAGATCTTTTGACTTGAACCTTGAGGACAAGGTTCTTATTGAGGACGAGAGTATTGTTATGAATCAGCCCCAACCCAATAAAGATACCAACAAAGATATTACACAAATAGATATTGGACCAAGTAGTCCCAACAAAAGCAATAAGGCCAGGCCTTCACAAAGGATAATCTGGGATCTAGACTGAGGGTACGTTGATTGTAGTTAAATAGATTAGGGCATCACTATCAGAGGGCATCGTATGAATTATGTGCAAAGGCAATTTCTGTGTTTCTCATCCCCAATTCTAGAGTCTAAGTTTCTCATCCCCATTCTTATCTCTATCCTTAGTTACTTGTTATTTCAATATTTCCATTGTAATTCGGTAGTTTGATTATTGCAACTAGAATCTTAAAGTTGTAATACTGTTTCAGTGCTCTTATTAATATAGTGAGGATTTGGTTTGTTTCATCCTTGGTCTAGCATATTATAAGATTGACTACTAACCGATGCGGAAGCTAAGATATATAGTAATAGCCAAGCTATTGAATATTGAACCATCTTTTATAAACAAAGAATACTAAAACATTTGAGCAAAAGTTTGAAATATAACTGGAACTACTAATGTGTATGACCCATGGCTGTGTCAAATGAGCCTCTAAAACAATTGAGTTGAATAAGTTTACCAGGATAAGACCCCGGGCTTCCTGAAACCTAACACAACTTAACTGAATAAAATCTTTTGAATCGTAACCGAAGTCCTTTGAATGTGAGGAGGACTCACCACAAGCTAAATATAGATGAACTAAGTGGAACGTCTACCTGTAAATCTGTATCAAAGTATTGAAATGTACATCATTTAACGATGTAGTTCAAAGTAGCATCAATACATGAAATATATTGGTATGTAAGGTAAGAACTGAGAACAACACTTATACAACAAGTGAAAGAACTACAAATCTGAGCATGAGTAATATACAACTGATAATTGAAGGAATGAGACTCAAAACTGTGACATGAAATAATATTTCAAAAAGAAAAATACATGTTTGAGATCATAATTTGCAAAATCATATCAGAAAAAGGATGCATTCTATTTGAAATATTATAATGATTATATTAAGAAAAAATATATTTAAAATTGGATTTAAGTCTTTTAGTGGGAGTTTTCCTTAATCGACTTATACCATGTGATCTCATGATGCACCAATGAATGCCCCAATTGGGAGGGTGCCTTATACCTGGGTATATGATTTTTTTTTTGTCTAATATGAATCTACTAATTAAACCTTAAAGGGCTAAAGGAGTTGAGCGATAAAAAAGGTGAAACATAATCCTATGGTGTCATGTAGTTCTAGAACTTGGAAATTCTAGACCTCATGTTCACTTAGTATTACATACTACTCCCCAAACATACTATCTATATAGCTCATAAATATGTTAAGCTTATCTAGATGCTTACATAAATCTTGCTCAAAATCTCTTTCTAAAACATATCTAGCCGGGAGACTATATCCAAATATATGAGACTAAACTCAAATCTTTCTTTTTAAATTAAAATCATATGCTGGAATTTCATTCTAAAACATATCTTTCAAACCAAAAAAATTTCTAGAACATCCATAACTTGTAGATTCTCAAAATAGCTTTCACAATAACATAAAGTCTCTACAATCATGTTTTGAAATATAAGCTTCAAGAATCATAAATAAAATCATGTCAAGAACTAATAAGGATGACAATAGAAAACCTTGTAAAGCATAAAGATGAATTACACAATAGTCAATAATCGATAATCATGAGTAAATAGTTCAAGAAATCATGCAATTGGACATAACAAGGGTGAGTTTGAAAGTGGGCTTATAAACCCCAACTATAAAATTAAATTCATGAAAATTGATGAGTTTTGGACATGAGGATGAAAAGAATTCCTCATTAAAGTCCTACATATCTTAATTTTGAAGTTAGAGGAAAATTCACGATTGAGATATTTAAAATTCTTGTAGATCTTGTTCTTTGAAGTGTTGGGAAAAAAGAGTAGAGGAGTTTGTCATAACTTGTGAAATCTCATTGAATTTGACTTTTGGAGGAAGTTAATAGTCATGGATTAGGCTTATGGGATAAGAAAAGACGAAAAACACCTCCTCAAAATATGAAAAGATGATATATAAAACTAAAAGAATTTCGGAGCAAACATGCACGGTTACACAACTATTCGCGCAGGCGGGGAAGTAGCATTGACCTTACCGTGAGGTCACATGACAGAAGTGTTCTTCGTGCGGCGGTTCACACGACTGTGTAGTGCCGATAAAATGGGCATACCTTTCAGTACATAATTTGGATTGACAAATGGTCAAATACATTGAAAAGAAAATTTCAAAACCAGTCATTTAGTCGGTATTAGGCATAGAACTCTTGATATGCTAGGAGTTTCTTATGACCTTAATTTATATTCAATACACTTTACACACTTATGATTGAACCTTAGTACCCATGGACAATTAAAAATAACTCATTATGAACCTATACACCTACGAAGAATTATTAGAATTTTAGCGTTTTTTTTTTGGGTGTTCTGAAAATATCTCTGTCTTGGAGCAATAACGTAATTATCATGACCAAGACCGTCGTGATTGGCATGCACACTAACCATCCGGTAGGAGAACCACTACTACAACCCAAACCAAGCAATCAATCTAAAAACTAAGGCATATAAGTCAAATACTAAGGAAAGAAATTAGAGTTTCCATAAACTCTAACAAAAGTTCAACAATAACTAACAAATGCGGAAGAATTAACCTAGAACCTGAAAGTCAATATACCAAAACTCTACTAACGACAAATCTAAGAACAAGGGGTACAACCCCAAAACTAACAACACCTTAAACAAAAAGTCTGAGTCCGAAAAGAGTGGACTTAAACAAGGAAGATCCATGGTAGCCTTAAAGAACTGGCTCACCCTTGAATCCGGTCACGCTCATAGTCACCTAGCTGGGGTCTATCAATAGCCACCTGAAGATGCCCTATACTCAACAAAGAAAGAGCAAGTGCAGTATCAATACACAACCACCATGTACTGCTAGGATCACGTGGTTATCCCACTAAGTGTAACACACATTGGTCAATACAATAATATAATCACATGCACATATCGAACATATACAATATCATCAACATATACGAACAATGAACAACTTCACGATTCTCACATATCACAGTTATATCAATTTAGAGCAACATACCGTCTTACAATATCAATCATCATTAGATATGAGCGAACTTATCACAAGTAGATACACAACACAATTCAATGGTCCACTCACGTAACCCAATTCAATGGTCCTCTCATGGAACCCAAACCTAAACAGTTAGCATGCCAAAACGTGGCAATCCAATCCTATATTTATGCCGAAACATGGCAATCCGATCCAAGTTAGTTATGCCAGAACATGGCAGCCGATCCCATGTTTATGCCGAAACTTGGCAATTTGATCCAAGTTAGTGAGTCGAATCGTGCCACTCGCCCATTCAACAAACCACAATCACAATTACAATGTATATTATCACAATCATACAACAAGAGGTGATTCATGACGTACAATTATTCAATTATCCTCATTTACAACAAGTGTGATCAATAATGCAACATTCACATACATACATGTATCATAATGAAGCAAGAACAAATACACATCACACAATCATAGAATCATAACCATCACCTACCTCGAATCCAAGCTTGAATCCCCTAAGACGTTTGAATCTTCCCTTTTCAGATTCTTTCCGCTTGTTCTATGTCTACAAACAACAATTTATATGCAAGGATCAACAATCAAAGGTCTAATTATCCGAATTATAACAAACCCAATAACCCTAGACCAAACCCAAGATCCTACTACCCAATTTAAGACTTTTTCCACCATAAATTCTAGATTAAAACCCTCCCCCATCGATAATTACCCACTAAATTACGTTCTACGGATCAAAAAATGGATTCGGGGAGTTAAAACCTTACCTTTAGCCTCAAGAATGGTGAATAACGGTCAAGAAGTCGCCTGGGGTCGTCTCCTTAGCTCTAAAAATTGAAATGTGCCAAATAAGGTCGTCTAGGGGTTTATTAACGACTTTAAGTCGCATCTGGCCCGCCACGGCGGATCCATCCCACTACAGCAGCCTCGCTCTGGCAGTTCCAATCACGCTCTGGCGGCCTACACGGAGACAAAATGTTACCCGTTCACGCTAAGATCATTTTCGAGAGTTCTACTCGCCCAAATTCGATTCCGTAAAGTCGTATGAGTTCCTTAACGTCTTAGCTATTTACTCATGTGGTCCAAATCATAATTAGATCTCTCATTAATTACTAGATTTCCCTACACCTTAATGACTCCGATTTCATCCAAATCTGGACTAGGTTCGGAAATTCCAAGTTACTACGAAAAAGTTTTATGACCCCAATTCTTTCTTCATTGGCTTTTCCCTAACGACGGAATCAGGTCGTTACAATAAATACCAATTTACCCATCACTCGTCCCCGAATGATCAACTAAGAGAAGAATAGATAATGTAAGGGTAGAGTAGTATCTGAATCATCGAATTGTTGGTGATACTTGTCTCTCATG